CAATAGATCTCAATGGACGAGTGTATCAGAATACTGTACGGGCTTATTGTTGTGCGGCTGAGAGACTTGGCAGTCTCCGGTGGAGGACCTGAGACATCTTCGGATGCTTGGCCGCTGATGACTCAGGACTATAACGAATCGGTTGGAACCAGTTAATTCGGACTGAGTTGATCTGGTAACGGATTTCGTGTTGCGGAAGTTAATTCACTCATACAGCGCATCCAACACCGCAAGCTATTTTCGCTGGGCCATGCGTTACACATGGCTAATTACCAGCTGCCGAGATAAGTGCAGTTTCCTCGCTTAATTCCTAGTGGGGAAACCTAGAGGTGAACAGGGTTTGATGTCACAATAGTCACAATCGTTCAGCTGTAGCACCCGGTCGTTGCCTAGCTGCCATGCCATGAAGGAGACACGAGGGCTGGAATACTGCCAGTTTGCCCAAGCCTAGACGGGAATTCGAGAGGCATAGGTCGGGTTCTAACCACGTACGTTCCGGTCAGTTAATTCGCGCTATGACGCGGCGGAAGGAAATAAGGAATTCTGCGTAAAGCTTAGGCGTTGTTGTAGCTGTCTACTAAATAAGATAGGGTCCATGTGACCCTCCCTGTGCTTGGCTGAAGACAGTAGTATGGCGGGTGACCGATGTTTGTGGCGTTCACACTGTCAGTTTCTATACAGATTGTCCGAGTGAATGTTAGGGTTGTAGGCACCCCGGATATTTGTGGTTAGGTATCCTGATATCTTTGCTCTTTCGATTATAAGGCTTTACTGAAGTAAGCTATCTAGTGAGCTATCTAATGTCAATGATGTTGATGATTATAATGATGAATTCCGCCACGAAGAGACTGGACCTTACCGTGGTGTGGCAGTTTGTGTACCTCGACGACCCATTGCGCTATACTGGGGAGTGTCCGCACGATGCTCACAGAGTCTCTCATACCAGGTTGGTCCATGGGTAGAGGTCCGACGAACACAGTCTCCTGGCCCTCCAGGTTGGGGG